ATTTTATGCTTATTTCGAGTATTTGTTATTTTCAGTATCATTTGTGAATTAATTATATCAACCGAAACTACGGACATCCGCAAATTTTTATTTTTGCTATTTTTAAAAATTGGAGAATGTTCAAAAAGTGGTACAAAATGTTTTTTCATTTAGACAGTCGCTATTTTGTAAAAAATATAGCTTAAACTTTTCCGTAGTTCCGGACATAGCGACATTATTGTAGATTGATAATCCTTTTTATTTTCTTTTAATTTCAGATTGCTTGATGTTGTCAGTGACCATACCACGTAGAAAGCACCGGTACGATCACCGAAGTTAAACTACGTCGGGCCGGGTTGGTACTTGCATGGGTGACCAGCTGGGAATACCCGGTGGTGCTGACTTTTTGAAGTGCGCGATAGACTTACCTCCACGTGATGCACCCTGTACAACGTATCTTCTTAAGGCTCAAACGTCTATCACTCGACATTCTATTTTGACTTTGATTTATTATGATCAGCTCGAAAAAAGGCCATAAGAGAAATTGCCCTCGTTAGGGCGAATCACAACGTCTTCAGATCCACTAATGGAATGCTGGATGGATGTCCTAGAACACAAAGATCCAAGTCCAGAAAATCCTACTCACCTTTGATGTAGACATTTTCAAAATTATGTAAGCAAACCTTTCGACTGACAAATTGAAGAACTACCGATTCCCAGGTTACACCCTTTACGTTCTAACTAAATACCGCCAAGTTGCAAGTAGAATTCTGAATGGGGTAAAAGAAGGCCTCACCTCACACTGCGATCTAAGCAAGTGTATGGGCTCGACACAAGGCATATGTGAAATAATCAGATTAAATATTTGGAAATATCAAAAACACTTTGAGGAATGTGCTGTCTATAATCCACACCGAAATTGTCCAAACTTTGGCTTTCTGAACATCTCGCAAAAAACTGTAAAATTAGGAAACTTCAACGAACATTCCACCAGATGAGCAACAAAGGTTCAAACATTGCTGGAAAGGAAATTGAAGACATGCTAAACAGCAACCCTCTTTAACTAGGAAATTGAAGACATGCTAAACAGCAACCCTCTGAAACTTACAGCAATGAGGATCCGGCTACATATTTGCACTACGATGGAGCCAGTACAACTCCTAACTTACTCCTGGCTTCAAGCGATATCAGTGAGCATACACACCGCAAAATAATTGAAGATCCTGGTTCCTGTCACAAACCTTTCATTGCAAGTATGACAACCAGCAGCAAAAGCATGACATAGAAAGTGTCCACTAAGCTATCATGGAACTTCAAGAAGGCTGACTGGCCTAGATTCACAAATCTTTCAGAGAATGAACTTCACGCAAAACCCCTCAACTTCAACCAACATCCTGACAAACTTTGCAATGATAGATGTGCAAAAAAAACTATTCCCCGAGGCAAAACTAAACACTATCAAGTGTTTTGGTCTGACCACCTTGAAGAATTAAAACGAAAGTTGGACGCTCTTCACAACACTGCTGATCAGACTGGAAGGGCGGAAGACTTACAAGCCTGGAGACGACAATCAGCTGTCCTAAGACAAGCCATCAATGAATCTTAAATGTCTTTTAATTAATTCAAACTGAATGTCAGAATTAAGTGTAGAGAATTATTTGAGGTTAAAGAAACAATCGAACTCACACTATCGAATTATTTCTTTCGTGCTGCAACAAAATTCATATTTCGGCATACAAAAAATCGAATAAGATGATCTGAATGAAATTTCATGGTGATATTGTGCATCGAAAACCAATGTGTCCTTGAAAACTCGTCCATTAAATTTCGAATAATTTTATCTTTTTTCGGATTAAATTATTGCCGACAACTCGAGATGCAACACTAATTAAGACAAATTCCGTAAAAAAACCGAAAAAATCAGTTTTCAATTTTCTAGTGCGAAGGTGTCGCATTAAATGGACGCGAGTCCACTGCACAGTGAGTAACGTCAAGTGTTTTCGTCCTGAAATTCAGCTGCCTCCACTAACGAGGCAGTCAGGCGGTGACTCAGAGTCAAGTGAATTGGAATTGAAAATCAATAAGGCGAATGCTCAAGAAGTGGACATCGAATATTGCCGAAGCTCAGGGCATTCCACCTTCGCTGATTCAATATTCCAGTTGGAACAAAACGACCAGTCGAAACTCAGTTGAGAAGATTTAAGGTCTAGAGACATTGCACAACTGCAAGCCTTATTCTCTAATAAGGTTATTTTGAAATTGTGTTGCGAGCTTCATATGAATCAAGGTAAAACTCACTTTTCCTAAAATGGTATTTTGGTGAACATAAACATTTTCTGTATATCTACTCCAACCAAATATTGTAAAATATTTTCCTGTTCTATTAAAATGATAACGTCGCAATCCATTCAATTCAATATTTTGAGTTTAAATTAGAATTCTTGCGTATTTTTTGTGAGCAGATGAATTTTCTCTAACATATATTAACGCGTAACTAAGCGGAAAGATAGTTTTAAGAAAATGTTCAGTAGCGTTTGCAATGTACTTAAATCGGAAGAAAATCAATTGTGTTACCATCTCCAATTAACCATTTTATGCTGTCATTTTAAAGCCTGTGGTGAATGGAAAAGTGTTGGCACTTGAGAATTAAGACACGTTTTACACTGCGAGTCACGTCTTAATTACATGGCAGTTGGGCGTGCATGATTATTCGATTAACCGTTGTCGATTAATTAAGGCGCATTATTCGAAATCTTAATGTAGAATGCTTCCTCATTTCAGCCCAATTACCACTTTTTGGCAACACTTACTTGAAATCGACATTTTAATACCCCAAGAAGGCTAAAACAGACTCTTATGATTGGGTGAATTTGATGATCTTACGCAGGCCCAATTCCCCTCGTTGAAAATAAAATTGAAAAGGGTTTTGTGAATGGAATTTTGTCTTCTTTTTGATGTTAATAGTCGAAAAAGCTCTTGCTGCAACTTGTCGTCATTTGCTCAGTACTTGATGTAAAATTGAAAAAATGCACTGCCAATTCTTATTTGTTGGGTTCAATGAGAGATCAATTAAGCACTTTCATCTGAAAAGATGCCTTTGGCTATTGATGTAGCTTAGAAATAATAAAATTAAAGATGTTTGGTACTGAAAGTTAAACACCGAATTAATCAAATATTGCCTTTAAATCAACATCGTCCACCGAATTTAATAAAAATATTGGAAATGTGGGTTCTTATCCCACTTTTTAAATTAAATAACTATTTCGAGTTTGAAACAATATGAACTGTGTGCAGCAGATTGTAATCGAACTAGAACAGCATGATTGGCAAAAAGACGATAATTGAATGATTGATAGAAGGTTTAAATCAATCATATATGCAAACTTTACATGAAACATTATTGGCTTGAAGCTAATAGGTTTTTAATTGCAGATAGTACTCATTCTAAATGGAAATTTAATGTTGTTCTCTTGTCGTCATCACAAAATTGGNGTTGAAAATAAAATTGAAAAGGGTTTTGTGAATGGAATTTTGTCTTCTTTTTGATGTTAATAGTCGAAAAAGCTCTTGCTGCAACTTGTCGTCATTTGCTCAGTACTTGATGTAAAATTGAAAAAATGCACTGCCAATTCTTATTTGTTGGGTTCAATGAGAGATCAATTAAGCACTTTCATCTGAAAAGATGCCTTTGGCTATTGATGTAGCTTAGAAATAATAAAATTAAAGATGTTTGGTACTGAAAGTTAAACACCGAATTAATCAAATATTGCCTTTAAATCAACATCGTCCACCGAATTTAATAAAAATATTGGAAATGTGGGTTCTTATCCCACTTTTTAAATTAAATAACTATTTCGAGTTTGAAACAATATGAACTGTGTGCAGCAGATTGTAATCGAACTAGAACAGCATGATTGGCAAAAAGACGATAATTGAATGATTGATAGAAGGTTTAAATCAATCATATATGCAAACTTTACATGAAACATTATTGGCTTGAAGCTAATAGGTTTTTAATTGCAGATAGTACTCATTCTAAATGGAAATTTAATGTTGTTCTCTTGTCGTCATCACAAAATTGGTGATTAAACGCACTGTTCCAGCTATTCTCATATGGAATTTATCACATTACTTACTTTTTTATTCCCACACAATGCTTGCCACACAGTCGTAGTCAAATTGCACCACTCAATTTACCACATCAATTGGCACTCTACCAATTGGGCTTTTGGATTGCAAAAGGTGCGAGAGGCGTNAAATAACTATTTCGAGTTTGAAACAATATGAACTGTGTGCAGCAGATTGTAATCGAACTAGAACAGCATGATTGGCAAAAAGACGATAATTGAATGATTGATAGAAGGTTTAAATCAATCATATATGCAAACTTTACATGAAACATTATTGGCTTGAAGCTAATAGGTTTTTAATTGCAGATAGTACTCATTCTAAATGGAAATTTAATGTTGTTCTCTTGTCGTCATCACAAAATTGGTGATTAAACGCACTGTTCCAGCTATTCTCATATGGAATTTATCACATTACTTACTTTTTTATTCCCACACAATGCTTGCCACACAGTCGTAGTCAAATTGCACCACTCAATTTACCACATCAATTGGCACTCTACCAATTGGGCTTTTGGATTGCAAAAGGTGCGAGAGGCGTGAGATGACGCGAATGAAGAACTCCTGAAACTACATCTCACTGGGTGCCAATGCACTTTCGAATTCCGGGTAACCCCCAAAAACAACAAGGAAAGTCCCAAGAAAGAACCAATATTTTTAAAAAACAAACTGCTTACCACCGACTTCGAAATAGCAAACTGCTTTGCGAGGTTCTATTCCCACAATCAAACGAAAACCCTTTTGTCTGAAAATCTTCAAGTGTTTTAAAGATACAAGTAAGGCAGTTTGGTGAAATTAAAGAAGACACAACAATACCAAATAATGTACTTACTGAACCATACTGACTTTGCGAACTCAATGCCGTGATAAAATAGCTAAGGTGCAAAATGTCTCCTGTTGAAGGCGGTTTCATCAGGAATTTCTAATTATAATGGGGTCAAAAGTCAAGAAAACCATGCTGACACTTTTTAACAAGATCTGAGAGACCAGTCTCCTACCTAACCAATTAAACGTCGCTCAGGAGACAACGGAAAGTGATGCGACAAAAATGAATGGTTGTCAATACCACAAAAAATGCATTCCAAATATTTTCTATGGTCTGTTAAAGTCCGAACCAGCTTTTAATGTACAAGGATACTACCCTAGAAAACACAAATGATAATGAATTTTAAGCAATTCAGAAATTTATTTTTATTAAACACTTAGTTCTTTACAATGTTTTTTTAATAGGTAAAGATTTATTTCCAAAAATGATGACAGTACTCAACGTTTTGCAAAGAAAGTGATGTTATCGGTATGCCAAAACTGTAAATTATCTTAGGGAAAATGTTAACATTTTCATCAAGGCAAGTACAATTACTGGAAGACCCATTGAATCATGCCAAGAAGAACTAAATAAAGTGTAAAAAATAAATGCTGGAAATTATTGCAACATTGCCATTGTTCATTTATCAAGTCCATTGTTAAACTATAAACACAAGGACTTAAAGTGACCTAAAGAATATGAAAAAATTGAATTTTTGACAAATTCAGTTAATTTTTCGCATAAATATTAGTAGAGTTAAGGAAAATAGACTAGTGAGTTATACATTGACTCGCTTCATCCTTTCCATCATGAAGAATATTCAAATGAAGAAGAGTAAGTTGGACTTCTAAAATGCAAATCTTCATATATATATATATATGAAGATTTGCATTTTAGAAGTCCAACTTACTCTTCTTCATTTG